ACATTGGTGAATGCCACAAATTCTCCTAAATCACTCGTACGCACAACTTAAGAACAAATCTGTGCGTACCAACGGTTCTTGCATGAGGCCCAATATTCTTACACAATCAGTTCTTGTTTAGTAAATCAGTCTCAAAACAAGATGATTATTCTTATGCTACGTTCACACTGAACGCATTTTGAGCGGCCAAAAAGCACAAAACGTCTCTTGTTGGACGCACTATTTTCAGACCAAAGAACGCACTAGTGTTCAGACCAGAACGAGAAGCAGCAGCAGCGAGGTGTGGGAGGAGCGTGACCTCGGTGGGTGAAATAAAGATAAAATAAAAGAAAATGGCTTCGATTTATTTACTAAAATGCAAGCGAACGTTGAGCACAGCAGATAATTAACTCACCAGATGATTTAGAGGCGATTTGTTTGGTTTCGTCACTCCTGCCAGAAAACCCAACTGCACATGGTCGATTTCAGGTAAAGATCTGCAGTCGGTCTGTTTTGGTTTTCAGTGGGAGACGCGTCGAGCGGCGAAAAGTTCAGATATTTGAACTCTGGTGGCGGCTCGGGCGGCGGCGGCTTCTGCAGCACTGCATGCACGGAAAACGCTCTGTGCCCCTTCCACCTTCCTTGCGCGCTGCCCAAAACGTACGCGACGCGACGCACGACCCCTAGAGGCGCGTCCTCCATAGACTTTGCATGTGAATCAGCCGCTCCCGCAGCTCAAAATGCGTTCGGTGTGAACGTAGCATAACACAATCAGTTGTTTAGTAAATCAGTCTCAAAACAAGATCAAAAAGACCTTTTGGCTGATATAAGGTTTTAAAACTTGGTAAGATGGACAGTTTTTGCAGTGTAGTTTTAAACTGAGTGTTGTGTGAGAACTGTACAGATGTGTGAAGGTCAGCCTCCAGGTAGACGTCTGAAGGGGTTAACATGAATGGTTATGAATTTATTTCTATCTTACTTGCAGGAAGTTGTGTGAACAACCTCAGGATGATGAATTAGTTTAATTATAACAGGACTCAATGTTGTATTAAAATTTACTGCTAACAGTTTATATAAAACTTTATACCTGTCAAATTATCTTTACATAATTTTTGTGAACTAAAATATTTCAGTGGCCTGTGATTCAGTTTGTATTCTTTTTACTTGATATTATGACTTGCAATGTGTGAATGTCACATTTGGAGGARCGGACATGTTTTTCTTGTAGGCACCTTACAGGAGCTGGGTTCATACAGAGCCACTCTGATTCTGTTTAACGATTGTTGGTGGTTAGAGCCAGGATGCAGGCAGACATGAGGAGTACAGGATATAAAAATACTTTTATTTATTACTGTAATAAACAAAGCAAAAAAGCTGACAAGGCATCAAATTTGGGGAAATAAGAAGAGGAGAGACGAGGAAATGACAGAGAGAACACATAACTATTAAAATAAAAGAGTAGAAGAATCAACAGGAACCTACAGGTCCTAACATGATTGATTGATAGATGTCAGATCAGATGTTGGTGTTTCCTCTCTGTCACCTYTCACTCACACATCATCCTTCTGTGCAGGGCATGCTGAAATACAAACTGAGGATGCAGGGCTGTACGTTAACTTTTTTAGCTCATAGCACCGGTGTTACAGAGTTTGCTGATCTTGTAGCACAGAACAARAAGTTGTAGCACCAGCATAAAATCTCTGTTCTAATCTGTAAAACCAAAAATTTAGAATGGTGAATAATATGGTGAGTATTGTTGTAGGACAGGAGTCACCAACCTGTTTGAGACTGAGAGCTACTTCAGGGGAGAAACACAAGGAGTTACTTGTTTGATAAAAAACAGATTTATACAGCTCAGATTCAATTATAAAAATATACATGTATGTGAATAATTAATTACTATGTTACATCTTAATGTTAATGACTCCTCATGATAGTTATAGATAATAATTTRCTATGATTAAGTTAATATTACTGTAAGTAATCAGCAGATTTATCTTAGTCCAGAGTTTTCTTTTTATTTCAATCAAAAGATTTTTTTGGGCTTTAACCTATGTATTATTGTCAATGCTACATGCTGTTCTGAGRAGTAGACACAGAACTGTAGTTCTAATGTGAATGTCCAGGTAGATACTGAGAGCAGAAACRGCAACAGTYMATTTAGAAATTAAAGCARTKACAAGTCATGCAAAAGTCTAAGTTAATGAACAAACACAGATGAACACCATTAAAGGCCTTGTAACTACATAACCCATTCTGTCTTAAATCACAAGTTCTCAACTACTTGTCCAGTTCAGAGATCAGTGTCCTCTCTCTGGTCTCTCTGAGGTTCTGTAGATGTGCAGAGTTCCACTTTAACCTCTGACCTCTGACCTCTCTGCTCTGTGTTTCCTCTCCTGTAGATGAGATCATCTCAGCTAAACCTGGACAGAACATCATTCTACCATGTAGATCTGATGACAGCAGACCTGTTGTAGCTGTAGAGTGGAGCAGAACTGATCTGGGATCAGATCATGTTCTTAAGTTCAGAGATAAGAAGATTGATCCAGATGGTCAACATCCATCTTTTAAGAACAGAGTGGATCTTCAGGACAGACAGATGAAGGATGGAGACGTGTCGTTGGTTCTGAAGAACGTGATGACAGCAGATTCTGGAACATATGTGTGTAGAGTGGACTTCAGTAAACCAAACCACAGCAGGAGAAGCCCTCAAAAACCTGATTATATCACCAAATACTACCTGCAGGTTCTTACTCCAGGTGAGCAGTGAGTTTGAGTGAAAGATATTTTTGATGTTGTTGTTGTTGAGACTGTAGAAAGCAGCTGGTCTGAGTCTCACATTCACTTTCATGTGTCCACTCTCTGGTCTCTGTGTTGACCTCTGACCTCTGACCTCTGACCTCTCTGCTCTGTTTCCTCTCCTGTAGATCACAACATCACAGCTGAACCTGGAGACACCATCACTCTACCATGTAGATCTGATGACAGCAGACCTGTTGTAGTTGTACAGTGGGACAGAACTGATCTGAGATCAGATCATGTTCTTCTGTTCAGAGATGATCACATTTTTATAGATGGTCAAGATCCATCTTTTAAGAACAGAGTGGATCTTCAGGACAGACAGATGAAGGATGGAAACGTGTCTTTGGTTCTGAAGAACGTGACGACAGCAGATTCTGGAACATATGTGTGTCAAGTTCAGAGTCAAGGAAGTCAAGAGAAGATAAAGACCTGCACCATCCAGCTGCAGGTGTCTCTTCCAGGTGAGCAGTGTGTGTGTGTGTGTGTGTGTGTGTGTGTGTGTGTGTGTGTGTGTGTGTGTGTG